AGATGCACCTTTCTTTTATTTATTTATCTTTTTCTGTTAATGCACTTTCGCATCATTTTGTGATGCAAGGAATTGTAATTTCAAAATTAGTTTTAGTTAAAAACTGGTGATAGACCTTCTATATCATGGTAGTGTATGATCTATAGTTGATTTCTTCCATGTTGTTCCCTACTAGGACTATATATGCATGTCATCAACTTACATTAGGAGGGTGGTGAATAAATTCCCGAAGTGGTTAGTGAACAAATTAAGAGTGATGAACAACTGATTGAACAAATTGTTGAGAAAAATAGCATGTGACAGTTTTGAAGACCATGTATTGTCTATTATCTTGCTTCAACTTAAAAGGGATTTGTGTGTCTAGCATGCTTCAGAAAGACTGGAAGTAGCATGACCATGAGGAGGAATCATATAAACTTCATGAAGATCACCATCTAGAAAAGTGTTATTGTCATCAAATTGCTCAAGAAACCACTTTGTAGTTGTTGCTACCCCGCCAATATAATTTTGAAAGTTGTGATCTTTGGCACTAGAGAGAATGTATCAAAATAATAATGCACTCTTTCTATTTGGGTTAGCCCTTAGCAACTAATTAAGTGAACCATATACTTTTCTATAGGCCCAACAATCTTGTATTTAATTAATTTTGTAGACCCATTTGGGTTGCTTTCCTAGGTGAAGGTCAATATAATAATGACCCAAGTTTATGTAGTTTAGTTCCAAAGCATTCAAGTCAACTTCCATAACATGCTGCCAACATGCATGTTGAAATTAAAGCCTTTGCTGATAGGATGAGGTTAGATTAAGAATTTTAAACAATTTGGAGAACATTTAGAGTAAGATGATATATGCACAAGATAAAGGGTATGGACTATGGAGCAGTAATATTTATTATTTAATTAGATATTGATCCATGCACTGCACGAGTAATAAAATACATATAACATATTTTGAAAAAATTAAATTTTATATTTAATAAATTTGTAAAGTATTTGAAATAATAATTATTTTAAAAATATTAATAACAAAAAATGGAAATTATATGTCAATGATTGATAATAGACCCTAAGAGTTAAGAAACATTACATATATTTATTGTTAAATTGTGACACGTACAATATGTAGGTATGTAAATAAAATTATTGGAAACTTTATTTATTATTAAAAATATTACCTTAATATTATAAATAAATACATGAAATTATTATATATATATATATATATATATATATTTTAAATATGTATTGTGTTAATTTTTTAAACAATAATTATATTGATAATAATTACATTGAATCTTTAGTAAAATATTTAGTTATATATTTAGTTTTTAAATTTAAATTGAGTGTAATTTTGGCATTTATGTTTTTAAAGCCATATTAAGTAAATTTGGATACATAATTATTTTTTCCTAAAATTCTTAAATTATCATTTTTTTAATATTTTTTCTCATAAATAAGTGATTAAAGAATTTTAAAATTTTTACTCAAAAGTCACTAATCAAAATATCTATTTTTTTTTTCTAATGCCAATGCCACAAATGTGTAGAGAAAATGTCAAAAATGTATTATCAAAATGAAAAAGAATTGTGCAACATATGAATTGATATAAAAAAAATTTTATGTCAAAATAAATTAAAAATAATAATCAATATCTATTCATAATTGTAATTTATAAATTATAAATTGAATTTTTCATTAATACAAAAATAAATTTTTTTCTACCAAAATAAATTAAAAATATTAGTTTTTTTTTTTTGAAAATCTGTTAGATTTTTCTTCTACTTTCCAAGTAATTTTTATTCTATGTGAAAAAAATATAAATATGATGGAAATATTTTTGAATTTTACATGACAGGTTGGTGTCATTATTATATTTCAAATGTAGGACAATATAACAGCTAATTCAATGTAAATTTAAATGATTATACATAAATTATAATAAATGAACAAAATTAATGCACAATAATAAATACAATAAATTATGAATAAAATTATTTAAATTATAAATCAAATCATACAAATTGATTTGATTTTATATTATAAAAAAATTAAGCATAATACAAATATTGATAAAAAAAAATAATCTTTATCAACTTTAAAAATGTTTTTTTTTATATAATTTGCGTATTTTAGCTCTACTATTCTAATTAAGTTTCTCTATAGTTTGGCTAATTTTTATAGCATTATAAAAATAAAAAAAATAAAAATAAAAATAAACTATAATCCAAAGTTAACAACAACTTTATTTCAACAGAATTGTATGCATGTGCGAACATTTTCTAT